CTCCGCCTCCTCCTCCTCATCCTTCTCCCTTCCCTCCCCGTCCTCCTCCTCCTCCTCCTCCTCTTCCTTCTGCTGCTCCTCCTCCTCCTCCTCCTCCTCCTCCTCCCCTCGAAGACCCAGAACCTCGCAGTCAGAACCTCGCTCGCCGCCGAGCTCTGGCGAGGCGGGGCCCCCGCAGACCGTGGGACTCGACGCACTCCACGAGCCGCCTCTGGAGCCCCGGCGACAGGCCGAGCAGCGCCGCCCTGCGCTGCGCCGGGTCCATGCGCCGGGCCAGCGCGTGCAGCCGCAGCACCCACCGCTCCAGCCGCAGCAGCAGCCTCTGGCTGTCTGGGGGATTTGCGACGAAAAAAAAATACTACAAGAATGCTCCAAAATGGCAAAAAATAATCTAAAAATAGTCCCCGGACTACTTTTAGGCCCGGCTTAAATGTGCAGACAACCAGCATAGTAAGGATGCGCGCTAAGGATGCAAGGGCCTTGGACGCCTATGTCGAAGCTTCTCGAGCGGGCCGCGGCCAACGAAAGCGGCCAAGGATGGGCCGAGAAGGCAAGGATGCAAGGGTACCCTTGGGAGGGATGCCTATCCTTACTCTGCGGGTCGACTGTATCGTTTCACTGATCCCCATCCCCAGCGGCGTGGCCTGGGCCCCACTGGCCGATCTACCACCCTGGATGGGGATACAGGTCGTTACCTGCGGGTTTCGAGGGGTGTATCCCCAACTGGGGTGGTAATTGGGTGGGGGTCTCGGAGGGGATGGGGATGGGGATCGGTTAAACGATACCGACCATCGGCAGCGAGCGAGGGGGGGAGGCAAGTCTGCGCTGGATCGGGTCGCGAAATCGGATCGGATCTGGCGCGGCTCGAACCGCAGGCGAATCGTCCCGAATCGGATCGGCATCGACTCGCCGCGCACCGCTCTCCTGGCTGGCCCTGGCCGACTCAGGGAGGAGGAGGAGGAGGAGGAGGAGGAGGAGGAGGAGGAGGAGGAGGAGGAGGAGGAGGAGCAGGAGGAATGGTGTGGTCACTGCGCCGTTTGTAGTGTAGGGGAACACAAAAACATAAAAACTCGGAGGCGAACAGAGCAGGACCGCATCGGATCGGAATCGCAGCCCCGGCCGGCGGACCGCATCGCATCGTATAGGCGGCCCCGCACGGCGAACGGAATCGCACCGACACGGATCGCAGGCGGCCCTGCCTCGGAGGCGGGAGGGAGGACGGCCTTCTCAGAGGGCGGCGGGACGTCCCAGAAGCCTCCAGTCGGGCGTGTCCCCCTACAGGGGGGTTGTCGACGAGGAGTAAAAAAGAGACTTAGCAAATACTCCAAACATGCCCAGAAATGCGCAAAAAAGGGTCCCCAGACTATGTTTTGACTGTCTTGGAATGCTCCCCCTCGGCGGTGGACAAGCCTCCCTTTAGTAAACCTCCCCTTAGTGAAAACGGCCTGGGACCGAAACCGACAGACCTGGACCCGCAAAAATGACGGCCGCGACGCCCTCTCGCGAACCGAAAACGGCCAATTCCTTAATCGACGTGTCAGGGTAGGAGGTCTGTCCACCCCCGACCCCCTGTCAGAGGGGCAGGCCCGACGTTATCCTGCGGAGAAAGCTTACTAACATGCGCCCTCGGGGCCCGAGCCCGGGAAGCCCGGCAGAGGGCAGGAGGCCCTTCCGCGAGCCCCCCGAGGCGGCCCCCCCATCGGCTTCATTCCCCCCCCCCCCCCCGGGGGCGCCGCCGGCCCCGAGCACACCTCGGGGGTGGGCCCTGCCTCCATCTAGCACACCCTCCTCCTCGTCCTGCTCTTCCTCCTCCTCGCTCCTCGCTCCTCGCTCCTCCTCCTCCTCCTCCTCCTCCTCCTCCTCCTCCTCCTCCTCCTCCTCCTCCGCCTCCTCCTCCTCCCCTCCTCCTCGCTCCTCGCTCCTCGCTCCTCGCTCCTCCTCCTCCTCCTCCTCCTCCGCCTCCTCCTCCTCCTCCTCCCCGCAGTGAAAAAAAAACGGCCTGGGGCCGAAGCCGACGGACCCGGGCCCGCAAGAAGGACGGCCGCGACGCCCTCTCGCGAGCCGCAGACGGCCAGTTCCTTCATCGACGTGTCGGGGTAATTAGGAGGTCCGTCCACCCCTGGATACCATCCGCGATGCTGTGGCCGATCTACCAACCTAAAGTCGTGCCAGAAATCTACCCCGAGAGGTGCGAAAAACAGAGGCGGAGATTCCCGCCTCAGAAAATGACAGGTTCTTTCGCGCAGAGATATGGTGGGAAATAGCGACGGCAAGAGAGAGCGGAAATTGGCATGAAGGGAGCTTGAGAAATAGGGCGGACATGTCCACCCTACTTGCGAAGTCGCCCCGAAGTACGGCGGATCCGAAGCCAAGGGAGTCCGGGGCTAGGGTTCTGGCGGGGAGAGCGACGCATCCACGCATACGTTAAGGCCGGGCGTGTCCCCCTACAGGGGGATTTTCGACGAAAAATAAAACATGCCCCAAAATTACCCCCAACTGGTCAACAGAATACTCAAAAAAACATACTCCGAAAATTCTTTGACGATTTGTTTGACTATTTCTGGGGGTATGTTTTATCTCTCGTCGAAAATCCTGTTTTGTTTGACTATCTGTTTTGATTTTTCCTTGACTACTTTCGGGGGATTTTTTTTTTTATCTTTCGTCGAAAATCCCCCTGGCAGGGGGAAAGGCCCGACTTCCGCAGACGTGCAGGGGGCCCTCTTGACACAACTCGGCGGCTCTCCCACCGCGGCCAAACCGTCCCCTCGAAGCCGGCCCCCGGAGGCCCCTCCCGGGGTCCGCGCTGCTCCGCCCCTCGAGGCGGATCCCGCCGATCCGAGTCGAGGGCGGGTCCCGCCGGTCCGATCCGATGTCGATGCCGAGCCGGTGCGGCCCGATCCGAGGCGCACGTCCCGCTCCGATCCGGCTCTCCGAGCCGATGCTGCCCGATCCTGCCCTTTGTCCCCATCCCCGGCGACGCTCGGTCGGGCCCAGAATCGAGAGAAAGCCAGGGTCCGCGCTGGTCCGTCCCTCCAGGCGGATCCAGCGCGGATATGAGAAAGCCGTGCGCACCTCCGAATATGTTTTCAATGTTCCTGTATTGTTTGTTCCTTGATGGGGGGAGGAAGGGGGGAGGAGGAGGAGGAGGAGGAGGAGGAGGAGGAGGAGGAGGAGGAGGAGGAGGAGGAGGACCCTCCCAGGGTCCGCGCTGGTCCGTCCCTCGAGGCGGAGCCCGCCGCGGAGGCGAGGAGCCTCCGCGGAGGCCCAGAGAGGCAGACAAAATACGACGGGGAGGGCTGCCGTTGTCTCGACGGGCCCTCGCCTCCGAGGCGGCGAGCAGCAAAAATCGTGCACACGGCCTCCTGGCCACGACCCCCCGGCGGCGTGTCGGGAAGACGTAAGTGAAGGGGCCCCAGGACACACAAATAAATACACACAAATACAAGATGTCCCCCACATTTTCCCATATGTTCTTCGGTGTTGTCTTCCCCCCCACTTCCCATATGTTCCCATATTTTCCGGGGAATCGACGATTAATTGTGTCTGTGTGTTTCTCTCCCTCCTGAGTAAGACTCTAGTTTGGAGGACTCGAGCTGGCCTGGCGGGGCCGTCAGGAACAGGACGAGACCCAGTCTGGAAGCTGGCCCTGCGCCGCTCCAAGAAAGCCGCGCGGACCTCCAAACGCTTCTGCTGACGGCGGGCCCTTGTCCTCGAGAGCCCGGCAGGAGGGGGCTGGCTGCGAGTGCGGGTTGTCGGACCTCACGGGGGGGGGGCCGTTCGAGCGGGGACCCCCATCCGACAACAGGCACCCATAGCTCCTCTGTCCCACCTATGGGTATGGGTGTGAATGTGTGCATGTGTGCGCTGCTCTAAGGGAACAAACAGAACAAACAAAAACATACACAAACAACTCTGAGGTCCGCGCGGCGCCAGGGCCCCCTTGCGGCACCTCTGGCGCGCCACCCCTGGCGCGCTCCGCGCGCCAGGGAGGGGGGTCCAGCGCCGATCTGAGAAATCCGTGCGCACCTCCGAATATGTTTTCAATGTTCCTGTATTGTTTGTTCGTTGATGGGAGGAGGAGGAGGAGGAGGAGGAGGAGGAGGAGGAGGAGGAGGAGGGAGGATGACGAGGAGGAGGGGAGGAGGAGGAGGGAGGAGAGGGGAGAGAGGAGGAGGAACTGCTGCTCGCTCGTCGCCGCTCGCTGCCCCCTCGAGAGCTCCGCGGGCCTCTGCTCCCCGCGGCAGCCGCCGCGCCCGGCCGCGCCCGCCGCCGCGCTGGCCGGCGCCTCGGGGCCCGCGGCCCCCCGCCGCGGCTGCCCCGCCGCCGCCCAGCTCGCTGGGCCCCGCGGCGGCGGCCGCGCCCGGGGCCTCGGCGGCGGAGGCGGCCTCGGCGCGGCCGGCGCCGGCGCCGGCGCCGCCGTGGCGCTCGCCCGCGGCAGCGCCAGGGCAGGGGAGCGGCGAGAAGAAACGGGCCCTGCGCGAGGATCGGGCACGGGCGGGGCCGCCGCCGCCGCCGCCGCCGCCGCCGCCGTCGTCGTCGTCGTCGTCGCCGCCGTCGTCATCGTCGTCGTCGTCGCCGTCGTCGTCGTCGTCGTCGTCGTCGTCGTCGTCGTCGTCGTCGTCGACATTGTCGTCGTCGTCGTCGTCGTCGTCGTCGTCGTCGTCGTCGTCGTGGTCGCAGTCGTCGTCCCCCTTCAGGGTCGGCGGCATCGGCCGTAAGGCATTCGCCATCAGGCGCCCGGCGCCCAATGCCACGACCCGGAATAGCCGTCACCCGAAGAAATACCAGTCGATGGTTTGGGCTTCGGGCCCCAATCACTAACCAGCTCCCCGTACCTGATCCTGCCTATATCCGAGAGAAGACATAGCGACCTTACGCCGCGGCTTGCGCGGGCAGCCAGCGCGGCACGCCACATTGGAAGCGAGGGCGCTTACGCGAGATCTCACACGGGCAGCTTACGCGCGAATGCTTGCGCAATCGGCTCCTCTTTGTTCCGTCGCTCAGGTGATGTCGCCGGCGCCATCCCCAGCACTGGGGGCAGCGTCTGGGCGGCCAGTCTGTGGCTGTGCCCCTGGGCGACGCCTGCCTGGCCGGCATGCCCTGGCGGCAGCAGCCAGGCCCGACCTCGCGCCGGGACAAGAGGTCAACGAAAGACAAGGGCCACTGCGGCCTCTCCCCAGCTCCCCATTCGAATAGGTCAGGGGAGGGAGGCCACGAAGGACGGCGGCGGTTACTGCGCGTGTTTCGCACCAGGGCGGAAACCGAACGGCCACAAGTGGGTGTCTCGCCGCACCCCTTGGCTGTTTAGGTCCTGAAGCACTGTACGTGGTTGAAGCCCGGAAGTCCAGTCGGTCAAGCATACTCTGGGTGTCTTAATAAGGGTGGGGGGGTACCCCCGACGGGGGTCAACCTCGCCTCGTCGTCGCGCCGCGACGGGGGTCGGAGCGCCTTCGGCGCGCGGTGGCTGCCCGCGACGGTGGTCGATGCGGGGCTGTCGGCGGGGGTGACGCCCCCCGACGCTTATTAAGAAACTCGGAGTAGCGTCCGAGCTAGCCCATAGCAGCGGAGCGCTGTCGAGAGCTGTGAGAAAGCCAAGCCAGGCCGCCCTCTGGGCAGGCTGTTAACAACACGTGGGTAAGTCCAGAGACAGACATGATAGACTAAACGTCGTCGCAAGACAATGTGATGCAAGAGCCAGCAATGCGTAAGACTCGCGTGTGGCTCCTGTTCTAGGCGACGCCACGCAGACCTATGGCCACGAAGGCATCAAGAGGCGAGTGAACGCATGCGTGAGGCACGCGATGAGGAGACATCAACATCAACGATTCACACAACGTTGCAGGTTTGCATGTTTCACCTGCTCACAGAACGCTGCCTCGCCAAAACTCGATAATCGAGAAAGGTTGTACATGAAGACCCCTGGGTATCACCAAGTTTGCCTGCATTCGTTGCCACTTCCTGCGGCCCTGAAGGGCATTGCGGAGCGGCACGCCGCGTATCACCAAACAGTGCATCGCCAGCCTCGAATGATGCCGCATGTGCAGCAGCTGCGACTTCATGCGCCTCTGGGGGATTTGAGCGGAGCGGCCCACCACGTGGCGGGTTCTGGAAACCTTCAAGTCTTCAAGTACTGCCGTGCGCCAGAGCGCGTGGGCAAAGAACGGTAGTGCCTGCCTGTTCTCACCGCTGTTCGGGAACGGCGGCGCGCCGACCCTCTAACGTACATCGTGCGCAGACTGGAAACTAAAGCGTTCGGGCATTCAAGCGGATACGGCCTGTACGGGAACTCAAGCGGGTACGGCATCAAGGGGATGAGGAGGAGGAGGAGGAGGAGGATACGCCGGAGCGTGTGGGCGAAAGAAGGCAACACCAGCCTAACACCCAAAAACTCGACCTATCATTCAGGAGGGAAAAAAACACACAGACACAATTGATCGTCGCCTCCCCGAAAAATATGGGAAAATATGGGAATTGGGCGGGAAGGCAGAAACCCAGAAAATATAGGAAAATATGGGGAATCTTTTTATTTGTGTGTATTTATTTGTGTGTCCCTGGGCCCCTTCAATTATGGGGGGCGGCACTCTCTTTCCGCAGGCTTCCTCCGCCCTCCCGATGGCGCCCGCCGCGAGGCCCTCCCTGGAACGCCCTGCGCAGACCCCACCCGCAGACCCCACCTCTCCGACCGCTGCCAACCCCACTGAAGGGGCCCAGGGACACACACACACACATAAATACACACAAATAGAAAGATTCCCCATATATTTTCCCATATTGTCTGGGTTTCTGTCTTCCCGCCCACTTCCCATATTTTCCCCTATTTTCCTGGGAGGCGACGATTAATTGTGTCTGTGTGTGTGTGTCTGTGTCTGTGTGTGTGTGTGTGTTTTCCCTCCTGACTCACAGCGGCCGCTGCCCCGCGCGCCCCCCGAAGGCCCAGCGGAGCGGCGCGCACGGCGCACCGGAGGCCCCCCTCGGTGCTTACCAGGGGTGCCGGGTGCCCAGACGACTCCGCGCGTCCCCCTCCGCGCTCCTCCGGGAGCGGCCAAGAGGGGGGTGTCCAAGAGGGGGGGTGCATACTCTGGGTGTCCAAGAGAGCGGCCAAGAGGGGGGTGTCCAAGAGGGGGGGTGTCCAAGAGGGGGGTGTCCAAGAGCGGGGGGGCCAGGGACGTCATGAGGCAAGAAGAGGCGCCATGAGATCTGGGGAAATATCCTGGCCCCCGCCATGGTATCCACCCCCCCCTAGTCGTCATCCCCCTCTTTACCGCCCCCCGACTCCTGGGTCGTGGGGCTCCAGCAGGGGGGCCCGCCGGGCGGGCCCCCACGGTGCCTCCTCTCGTCTGCGGGGGGCGCAAGAAGCTGCTTGTGGCCAGCCGCGGCGTGGGGCACGAGGCGCGGGGCACAGGCGGACCTACTACCCTCGTCAAACTTAACCTCAACAGTTGCTGGCACGTCATTTCGATTTCGGCGCGCCCCTCACTGTCGACACGCCGCCCCTTCAATGTCGGGGCGAGGGCAAAGATAGTCTGACCGAAGTTGACTCGAAAGTTTGACGTCGACCGACATTGGAGGGGCGGCGCATGCAAGTACCCCGCACTCATCGATACACGGCCCCAGATCTTCCGACAAGCAGTTCAACCACGTCAGACATTTTTGAGATTAATTTTGACGAGGGTTGTAGGCCAGAAGAACATCCCTCGAGAACACGAAACCCTCCGCCGGCCAAACCACACAGAGCATCCATGGGTACCCTCCCCAGGATGCACGAGAACAAGAGCATCTCCCACAAGCACGAAGAACACGAGGGTAGCCTCCTCGAACCGGCCTCGATCTTGTGCCTCGGTCCGACTGCAGCAGCAGCTTGGGCGCGGGAGAGCCAATCATTGCGCACCGAAGCCGCTGGACAAAACTGCGAGAGCGGCCAACATGCAACTGCCGCCACCGCCCGTGCTCAGCTGGAGCGCTTTCGGCATGGCAACCCGCCGCGTGGACCCCCTGGGTACTTCACAGTGGGCGCTGCCAAGTGTCCTGCGCCGCGCCTCTGGAGGGGGGGCTCGAGCGAACCAGCGGCACACAGAGCTCCAATGGAGACCTCGCCATCTTGGTGGACTGGATCGTCGAACCTACGGCCAGCGAGAGCGCCGACGCACAAGTGGGAGGGGTAGAGGAGGAAGTGACAGTGAGGGAGAAAGGAGGGGCAAGATCAGTGAGCATCGACTCGGGAAATCGAATCGAATCCGAACGTGCGTTGGATCGGGCTGCATCGGTACGGAGTCGGAATCGAATTGGGTGGGCCGCGCAAGAACGCACCAACGCCATGCAAGCATCGGACAGCATCGGATCGTCGGAAAAAAAATATTGGAATCGAATTGGATCGGGACGGCTGGAATCGATACCGAATCGGACCGATCGGATCGGAACAAACCCTGGGAAGGGGGGCAGTGCAGTACTCCGTGAAAGCTCCTCGGGCATTCTTGTTGGCAGCTGGATCCACGCCCATGGATGGGCCCAAGGAACATCGGGCCCCTTCCGAAACCAAGGTGAAGGTATCCCGAAGCGTGCACTGCAGTTCCGCTTCGCATTTGAGGGGGTGCCGCACATGACTGGGTGAGACTCTGGCGGGCATGCTCGTGCTGGGGGGCGCTTCGAGCTTTGCCTGCATTTCCCAAGGAGCCACTGCGTCGCTCACGCGAGGCGTCTTGACCACACGTCGGGAGCATATTGGGACGATCTGCGGGCAACGGGAGGGGGCCGAAGAGAAGAGTCGGGAGGAGAGGGAAGGAGGACAGACGACGGAGACGTGAGAAGCGAAGCAGGGGAAGGACGGAGGAAGGAGGCACGCGGACAAAGGAGGCAACGTGCAGGATGAGAGAGCTCGGAAGGAGGCAGGGAGAGAAGAAAAGCGATGGACGGACAGGAAATGTGATGGAGATGGGGGGGCGCTCAGCGCGGACCTCCTCGTGTCGTAGGCGGCTCGCGCCCGCGTGCTCGACAGCACCTCGAAAGCGCGCAGCACCCTCCGGAAGGCCTCGGACGAGCCACCCTTGTCCGGGTGCGTGCGCAGCGCCAGCCTGCGCAACACCAACGCAGGGGGTTGCCTCCACAGGAGGAAGATGATCCTCGATTTCGGTGTTGGTGGTAATATTTCGCTTACCTTGGAAGCCAGAATATTACCACCATCACCGAGATCGGGATCCTCTTCCCTCGATGGAGGCACACCGCCGAGACTGGTGTTGGTGTCAACCTCTAAGCCTGCGAGATCCTTCAACATCGACCGATTGTGGGTCGCCTGCGGCGCTCCGCGTGGAGCGCCAGCGGCGGGGCCGCCGGCGATCGACACGGCGCGAACCTACCGTTCCGTCGGGGCGCTGGCCTAAGGAACCCTAAATAAGGAACGAGGCCCCTATTTCCCATCAGTGAAAGCTCGATTCCCCATCGAAAACCTAGGGAACACCTGAGGCAAGCTGTGAAACAATCAAGGAACACGGAGCCCCTCCCCAACGAACAGGGTTCCTTCTTCAGGGCCCCGACTGTACAGTGCAGGGGAGGCCAGTCCACAGGAAACGCTCCCCAAGAAACTCAACCCCGAGACCCCAGGACGTCACTTTTTTGGGGTGGGGAACGCCACGCTTTCCATAATGCGGGATGACGATTAATAAAAAATGAGAGAGAACGATTAAACAATAGTTGTCTGCTATTTCTGACTGGAGGAGAACGATACAAAAACATAGTTTTCCAGCCCGCGGTCGGTTTTTCTAATCGTCATCCCGGGCGCCGCCGCGTGAACACGACCCCCGGTCATTTATTAATCGTCACCCTCCATTAGCCAAGCCGTCGACACCGAAGAAACCCACGGGCACCCTGGAGCCAAGCATTAAGTCGGGCCTGTCCCTCTACAGGAGGAATATTAAGAAGTAGTTAAAAAATAGTCAGGGGACGATTTTCTGGTATCGTTTGATCATGTTGCGGCATTTTTTGACAATTTGCTTTCGTCCTTTCCTCCAAAATCCCCCTGTAGGAGGACAGGCCCGACTTCAGGCAAGCAGGGCGTCTCTTGGCACGGGCCTCCACTGCCACCCCCCGTTGGCATCGCTCGGGCGCGCGCACCTCTAAGCCGGCGAGGCCAGCGCCAGCAAGGCCGGACCATCTCCTGGGCCGTCCCGGGAGAACACAGTCGGGAGGGCCAGGACCAGACTCAGACGCAGGACGTCCCGGACCAGCCCGGACGTCCCGGACCATCCAGTCAGGAAGGCCGGGCCCGTCCTGGACCACCCCGGGGACAGACGCAGAAAGACGGTCGTCGCGTTGGGCTGCTCTCGGCGAGCAGGGGGAGGAGGGGGTGGAGGAGGAGGAGGAGGAGGAGGAGGAGGAGGAGGAGGAGGAGGAGGAGGAGGAGGAGGAGTGTCTCGGCGCGCGGGTCTCTCCACTGCGCGCTCCGCCCGGCCCGCGCGCGGGCGCGCGCCTCCGGTAGGCGCTCCGCACCTCGGCCGCCGAGGCCGCGGGCGCGACGCCCAGCACCCCGTAGAGGTCTGCCATGGCCCATGGCGCGCGGCGCGCGGGGGGAGAAGGGAGGGAATCTCGGGAGCGGCCAAGAGGGGGGTGTCCAAGAGGGGGGGGTGCAAATCATGACCGGCGACATGTGCGCGGCCCAGCGGGGGGGCCAGGGACGTAATGGAATAATAAGACGCGCCTTGAGATCTGGGGAGATATCATGGCCCCCGCCATGATATCCACCCCCCCCGTAGTCATCACCTCTTTTCCGCCCCCGAGGAATAGGGGGGCGCGCAGGTCTGCCTCCAGGGGCTGCGGGGCCCCCTCGAGCCACGTGGCACTCACGGCGGGAGGCCTCTCTGCAGCTGCGGCCTCTGGGGGCCCCCCCCTACCGGGCCTCGGGGGCGTAGCAAGAACGGCTCCGGACGAGGAGCCAGCCATGGGGAAAAAGGGTCGGGAACTCTGGGGGTCGGCGTCGTAAAAAGATCACGACGTCGGGGGTCTGGGGAGGAGGACGAGGACGCCAACGACGACGAGGAGGACAGGGGCCACGAAGACGGCGACGAGGGCGGCGACGGGAAAAGGACGGCGGCGAAGGACACGACGAGCCGGAAAGGGCACGCGGGGAGGGAAGGAGCGATGATTGTGTTTGAGTCCTTGTTTGGACCTCGTCGGGGCGTCGGGAGTCCTCCGAGGGCCTGAGAAGACCTCGGGAGGGGCGGGGGGGGAGACGGAAGGAGGGAGGGAAGCAGGGTACGAGGGAGAGGAAAAGAGGGTCTTGAAGGAAGAGGGGGATGGAAGAAGGAGGAGAAGGAGTCAGGAGTCATGAGTCCCAGGACAAAGTCCAGAAAGCAACCTCGGAAGGCCCCTTGATTGGCCGTAGCCTGACGTTCGAGCTCGGCTTTGCTGTAGCGGAGCAAGTTGAGAGGGACAAGGACGCGCCACGGCGCCAGACACATTCTGGTGTTCGTCTGGGCGTTTGGACCCGCAAGCAGCGGGCACAGTCAGCCGCGAGTCGCTCTCGCTTGGGCGCCACTCACACTCCCCCCTGAGACGGGATGATCTCGTATCGACGCTGGCCACGCTCGAGTGTTTGGACGGGCGTTAAGTAGAGGAGCGAGCTGTGGCAGAAACACACTTTCTCGGAAGTCCGAGAAATCATATGTATGCCGTGTTTTGTTCTTCGAGTCAAGGACTCTTGGGAGCGCGCAAACATGCGCGCCAAATCCATGGATCGGGGGAGGTGTCCTCCCCAAAATGCGGTCGGTGCCGCATAGTTCGGCGGCAGAAATCCGCGATGTCCGATGGAAACGGGACCCGTCGCTGATCCACGGCCTCTTGAGCCATGTTTGCGGTCGCCTCAGACTCGCAAGGAGCGGGCACAACTCGCCGCTGCTCGCTCTCGATCTCGCTCTCGCTCCCCCCTGGTGCTCCTCGTGCGGAACGCAATGCCCCTCGCGGCCTGGCGGTTGGCCCTGTAACGGAATGCTCGGACGGGCCTGGACCTGCACACAGCGAGCATTACCGACCACTGGTCGCTCTCTCCTCGGCCACCTTGAAGCAAGGGGGTAGGCAGAACCACGCTTTCTGCAAGTGCGTCGCTGCAGGGAACGCCGCTCGTCAGCCACATTCTGATGCGACCAAGTCACAGGCAGGTTTCATGATGGTCAGGCGAAGTGTCTGGAATTTGAACGAGCGTCTGGAAAATACGGTGGGCCAGCACGAAAGGCTGCATGAGACACTGCTCCCCCGTCGAATCGTAATGAGCCCCTGGGCTGGCAGACCAGCCAGAAAGAGGAGTCGAATCCGAGGCGCTCGCCACTCTCCATTATGTGTACATGTTTGGCACCAACTTCCTGCAAGGCATGTCGCTGGGCTCGACCGGGAGATGAATGCTGCGGCAGCGCCACTGCAGCCATCAGCATCGCAGCATCCCTGGCAGCAGCCATCGGTGCTAGTCGATGGCAGTGCCGAGATCGCGGATCTGTGTCTGATGGTGTGTTCCGGGCGGAGGGCAGCGCTTCGGCGCCCTCCCTGCCCACCACTGTGGAATCCGCCCTCCGGCCTCGTCGCGTTGTGGACCAGGAGCCTCTGCAGCCCCGACGCCTCGCCCGGCGCTCGACGTGGAACCCAAGCACCGCGTGCCGAGAGAGCGGGAGGAAGCAAGCTGGGGTGAGGCGGCAAGCCACGGCCAGAGACGAAGTGAAACCTCCAACGTGCGCGAGCGAACCAGCTCGGTGACCGCGCAGGGGGCGGGCAGGTCCGCGCCTTACGACAGCAGGGGACCAGCGGGGACCCGCAGGGAGGAGAGCAGCCAGCGTCGTGGAAAGGGGGCGCAGGGGAGCGCGCCGGCCAGCCCCCTGGCGCCCGCGGGCCCCGCTCGCGCTCGTGCCGGCCCCGAGGCTGCCCAGCTTCGGCAGCCTTGGGCAGCGCGCGCGCCACGCGCCCGCCTCGCCGATCCCCTGCTCCCACTAGGGCACCACGCCTGCAGCTTCGGGAGGCTCGGCAGCGTACCCAAGCCACCGACGTCATGTTTTTTTTCTCATGACGTCCACCCCCAGAGGTCTGGACCCCTTTTCCCCGGGACCTGCTCTTCATCCTGAGTCGTTTTTGGATGGTCCCGAGGCCCAGCGGGGCCCCCCGGAGGCTGAAAATATGGAAGAACCTCCCGTCGTGATTTGTTCAGGACTCGAGGGGGTCCGGGTACGCGCCGGCGCCGCAGCGTCCTCTCCTCCGACCTCGTTCTGGCTGAGCTCGAGCTGCGTCGGCCCGGGCGCGGGGCGCGGGAGGCGCGCCACGGCGCCTCGGCGCCCGCGCCGCGAGTCAGATTCCAGTCGAGAGCCAGGCGCTGAGGCAGAGGGAGCGGGGCTGCTGCAGTGGTCCGGCGCCCTGCCAGCGCCTGCATGCTCTGACCGTGCTCCTCACAGAACACCACACGGCCTCCGAGCTGGTCCATGTCACAGGGATCTGATGGAGGCGACTCGAGATACCACTCCTTGAGGCTACCAAGCTGGCCCACGCCCATCTGCCGGAAGAGCTGCTTCACGGACCCGCGGCCGAAGCCAGTGGCAAACGACAGAGACGCGATCATCGCGTCAAAGTCATCAGGGCCTGTTGGCCAGCGCCGGTTGGCAACGGAAACCCCGTCGTCGCTGAATTTCGGCATGTGGTGCCGGAGCATCCATTTGACGATCTCCTTGTTGGCTTTGAGCTGCTTGATTTGCTTAGCTGAGCAGCGCTCAAAGGTAGTCCAACCAGACTCCGAGTAACCTCGCGGGCGCTGGCTGCCTCGTTTGCTTCGGTGCTGCGTAATTAGGTAGACCGCAGTGTCGCGGTGCGCGTGCCACAGCTCCATGGTGTGGTGCAGCGCAATTAGCGAGAGCCGCCTTCTCGGCTGGCGTGCGCTTCGCCGCTGCAGCTGCCTTCTCGGCGTCCTCCTAGCTGTTCCATTGCCAGGGCGCCGCTTTTTTCGCCGCCTCGGCCTTACTACGCAAATCACCATGCACCAACGATGGGCAACCCCAGAAGACGCCCATATCCACGAAGCCGTAAATTTCGCCTGCTCGGCCGTGATACTTGCTGCGCTCCTTTTCCAACGTGTCGACGATCATCTGCTTCTGCAAGGCAGAGGGATCGGGATGCTCCGACGTGTCCCAGCAGAAAGAAATCGTGACAGTGGGCAGGAGGTTATCTGGTCCGCCAGCGTTGTCCCTAAAATGGATTTGGAGTCCGTCAGCAGAAATGAAGACCAGGCCTCTTCGGGCAGTGCGCGCCGCAGCTTCAAGACTGTATCGCTTGTCTCCAGGAGCCAAGACGTGCGCAAGAGGCGCACGTGCTGGGAATATGTCCGCAGCTGGCCTGCACACTTGCCGAGAACCACCAAATTCTGCCGCATGTAGGGTACCTAACTCCCAAATCCGCCACCGTGCCTGCACCGTGCCTGCGCGGATTGAGACGGGAATCTTCTGACCCGGTTCAATCCAGACCCGGGTCAGTCAGGCCTTGCAAAATCCAGCAAAACCCTGCAGGACCCTGCACCCAAATCCGGGTCAATGCGAAGGATCCTGCAGGATCCTGCACCCAAACCCGGGTCAATGCGACCCTGGCCCTGCAGGATCCTGCAAGATCGGGCGCTCTGGCTGACCCCCCTTTGCATTGACCCACGTCTCAAGGCTCCCGAATGAGCGTCTCAGAACCTGGGCCAGCACGGGAACGGAACGTGCGCTTCAGAAACCTGCCCGAGATGGCTAGTGGCACCGTTCGCTCATGGGAGCATTGGTGTTGAGAGTGTGTTGCATCACCGATCGCTGTTGTGAGCCTTGGTATTCAAAGCTTTTTACGTGACCGCTCGCTCTTGGGAGCCTTGGTGTCAAGAGCTTGTCACGTCAGTGTAAGCTCTTGGGTGCCTTGGTGTTCAGAGCTTGTTACGTCACCGTTCGCTCGTCGGAGCCTTGAGGTTAAAAGCTTGCCACGTCACTATGGGCTCTTGGGAGCCTTGGTGTTCAGACCTGTTTACGTCACCGCTCGCTATTGGGAGCCTTGGTGTTCAGAGCTTGTAACGTCACCGTTCGCTCGTCGGAGCCTTGGTGCTCAGAGCTTTTTCCGTCATCGCTCGCTCTTAGGAGCCCTGGTGTTAAAAGTTGTTTATGTCACCGCTCGCTCTGGGGAGCCCTGGTGTCACGAGGTTGGCGTCTCTGGGCCTTCTTGGAGGTCCTGTTGGGGCCGTGCTGGGCCCTCTTCGGGTCCTCGTGGGCCGTCCTGGGGCCCTTTTGGGCCGTCTTGGAGCGTCTTGGAGGGTGTTGGCCGTCTTGGGGATCTCCTTGGGGCCTCTTCGGGCCCGCGTGGGACTCTCTTGGGAGCCTCTAGGCGCCCTGTTGGGCTGTCTTGTGGCCTCCAAGAGGCCCTCCAAGAGAGCCCGAGGAAACAACACCCTTCATTTCCAAAGGCTTTCGACAGATTTTGAGGCTCTCGTATGTTTGGGCATCCGACCGCCCAAGATGGCCTAAGAGGCCTCCAAGATAGCTCTTAGACAACCCATGAGGCCCCCAAGAGGGCCCCGAGTAGGCCTAAGAGGACCCCGAGATCG